GAATAGTTCTCTGCTGTAGATGACATGGGCTTGCTCCAGAAATCCAGGGATATGCACTGCAACTCTTTAATTGCAATTTGCCAGAAGATCCATATGACATCTTTACCTAACACAGATTCTTCTAGTACAATGAGATTTCATGGGTCATGTGATCCAGGTGACAGAATTTCTCATAGTGCAACCTAGACTGTTGGATCTTCTAGGTCACAGGGTCCAAGTGACAGGGCTACTTGTATTGTAACCTAAAACTGCTGCAGAGCCCCTGCTTGCTCTGGGGGCCCACTCAAAACTATCAACATACCATTTCACCAATAAATGGGTCAAAACAGTATTCCCTAGGGCAGAATATAATGCCTTCCAAGCCCAAAGAGGTCTACTAGGTATTGTACTTTGTTAGTGATAGGAGGTTCAAGGTACAAAAACCTATCATTTATTTTGGAAGCTGTGTTCTGCCAGTTCTCAGAAGATAAGACCCCTACAAACTTCACCAGTGTGGCAGCTTCTAAATCTTTTTATGTTTTGTCTCTGTCATCTCCCACCCTCTGGAGCACAGGAGATACGAAAGTAGAGTTCTTGCCATTTCTTTGCTTATCAGATCAAAGTAGTATAATGTCATATGTATAATGGACAAAAATGATCTTCTGTGGGATAGCCAGACAGTTCACATCCCTCGGGACTATATTGTAAAGTAACAGCAAATTAACATAATCTTGGTTATTAAAACAATGGCATGTATACTGTTGTCTATCTCATGTGACTGTGAACTGCTGCTGATTCCCCTTTTTAGTAGGCACTGAAAACAATGCATTTGCCTGATCCATAGCTGCATACAATGTACTAGAGGCTGTGGCAATCTGCTCTAGTACAGATACCACATCCAGCACAGCAGCAGCACTTGGAGCTTTGACTTAAGTTTGTGGTAGTTCACTGTCATTCATTACGCTTTATCCCGGTTTTGCGGGGTTCAATTGGTGAATTAAATGGGGATATGATGGGTACGTATGTTACATCATTTAAATCTTTGAGAGTGGCACGAGTCTCTTTTGTTCACTCTGGGAAGCAATATTGTTTTTGATTTACTCTCTTGGCTGCTGGTGGTGGGGGTGGTAGGGAAATTTCAAAGCCTTCCACTAGGTTTTTCCTACTATAGCAGATCTTATTCTACAGGTCAAGGAACCATATAAGCATTTGGCATTTTTGTGTTTCAAAATGAAACTCCCTTATGTATTTTTAAAAAGTGAAGTATAATTTGCATGCAATAAATTCATCTTTTTTTTTTTTTTTTTTTTGTGAGGGAGATCAGCCCTGAGCTAACATCCGTTCTAATCCTCCTCTTTCTGCTGAGGAAGACCGGCTCTGAGCTAACATCTATTGCCAATCCGCCTCCTTTTTTTCCCCAAAGCCCCAGTAGAACGTTGTAGGTCATAGCTGCACATCCTTCTAGTTGCTGTATGTGGGACGTGGCCTCAGCATGGCTGGAGAAGCGGTGCGTCGGTGCAGGCCCGGGATCCGAACCCGGGCCGCCAGTAGTGGAACGCGCGCACTTAGCCGCTAAGCCACCGGGTCAGCCCTAAATTCATCTTTTTAATGTGTACAATTCTATGAATTTTAAGAAATGTTTGAAGTCAAGTAACCACAACCAGAGTCAAGATTTGGAACATTTCTATCATCCAAAAAAGTCTATCATGCCTTTTGCATTTAATTATCTAAATTTAGCTAGCCCCTGGCAACAACTTGCTTCTTTTCTGTCCTTATAGTTTTGTCTTTTCTGAAATTTGATGTAAATAGAATCATAGAGTATATAGTCTCCTCTGCCTGGCTTCTTTCACATAGCATAATACTTTTGAAATTGGTCCTTGTTGTTAGATGCATCAATAGTTAATTCCTTTTTATTGCTGAGTTATACTCAATTGGATAGCTTTACCACAATTTTTTAACTCATTCACTAGTTGATAAACTTTGGGATTGTTTCCAGGTTTTGGTTATTTTGAATTAATCTGCTATGAACATTCAAGCACAAGTCTTTTATTAGATGGAATTCATTTTATCAATTCCTCCTTTGAGGCTTTCTGCCTTTAGTGCCCTGTCTATGAAATCTTTGCCTCACCTAAGCCAAGGCACAAAGATTTTCTTCTATGTTTTATTCTAGAGGTTTTATAGATTTGGCTCTTATATTTAAGTCTATGATGCATTATGAGTTAATTTTTATATATAGTATAAGGATCAATGCCCTATTTTTGGTACTTGGATATCCAATTGTTCCAGAATAATTTATTTGAAAGATTTTCCTTTCCCCATTGACTTATGTTGCCACCTTGGTCAAAATAAGGTGACCATATATGTGTGCATCTACTTCTGGCATATCTAGTCTTTTGCATTTATTTATGTGTCTATCCTCAGGCCAAGGCTACACTCTCTTGATTGTTGTAATTTATAATAAGTCTTCAAATAAGGTAGTATAAGTCTTGCAATTTGGTTCTTCTTTTTAAAATTACTCTGGATTTAGAAATTAGTCTATAGTCAAACTAGCATGCATAATGCTGGTGTCCTGACCCATAACAAACTATAAGAGAAGGTGCATATTCTTTGGTAGAGTGGGAAAAAAAGACACAGAACTCTCTTTGGCATAATAATTCATAACAAAATAAACGGTTTAGAGGTCTAAGCAATGATACACATCTTTTCACTGATTTCATAGATACTTTACCCAAACGCTAATAAATGGAAGAGTAGTTTTCTGTACCCCTCCTCAACCCTACCTCCTGGATCCAAAGAGAACTTTTCAGTTCTCACTCCAAGCACAAGATAAGGGAAAACCAGATGGAATAAAATGAGTGACAGCCTAGGGCAGAGTAAAAAAGAGGGAAAGAGCAGATCCCTAGGGGGAGGACAAAGAGGTTCAAGAGATTCAGGGTACTGGGAAGTTAGGGAAAGAGAGAGGCCATAACCAGGGCTCCTTTTGCAAATCCAAGATGAACTCTTGATGGAGTCCTAAGCTGTGTTACACCATTGTCAGGATTCAGTGTCCAGACTGGACTCAGAGCTTCTTTGGATGACAGTCAGAGTTTCTTAGTAATGGATTGGAACAGATTTCTCTTCCAAACTTTTATAACAGAGCAGAAGATTTATATGTTTAAAGGACAAAAAATGTGCTATAACTATTTTTGTTTCTGAAACAGCATTAATGCAATGCGAGCAAAAAAAGAGAAAAGCTTTCACAGGCTGTCCGGTAAATATTTAAATTATTATCTAAAATCTAACTGTTTTTATATCAAGCTCTGCAATGTTCAGGAATTTTTTTTAAAAAAAACTCTATTCTTAATAATTAAATGGTCAGTAACAGCGTGGATTTATCTGTTTTTCATTGTCATATTTGGAGCATGTGTACATCAAATTTAGGAACAGTCACATGAATATTTGCTGATTAAATAAGGATAACCAAAAACAGTGAGTCTGATTCATTTTTAATGGTTTAATGATTAATGATAATCATTGTTTTGCTACAGGGTAACCAGGCATTACAGGAGGACAGTGTACAAAACCAATCCATAGTGAGTCTGTTTCAACACAAACCAAATCATCAGAGACTTCTCCTTTCTTGACTTTGTTAACTTTCCTGTGTCATATTGATATTTTTTGCTAATACCACACACTGTTTCATCTTCACATTACATTAACTTACATTACATATTGTGCTTACATTAACACACAAATAAAATTAAATGTCTGTATCTTGAAATGGCCCCAGTTCTCTGGTTCCCAAACTTGAAAGCTTTACAAGTGGAATACACTGCGAGTTCTTCAGTTTCTCTTCCTTTCTATTACCTGGCTGGAAAACAAGTGCTGGAAAACTGGAGGCAGAAGAAACACTTTGGCCATGAGGCTGTGATCTGACTTTTGGGCATCTCAGATGTTGAAAGGGAAGTGACAGGGCACTAGGATGGTGGCCTCTGCATCCATGACATTTGGGAGTAGGAGCAGAAGACTGAAGAGAGAGGAGTCGAGTTTAAGGGAGATTTAGGTAAGGAATATGGGTGGGGAACTCTAGTGTTTCTCCTGACCCAGCTCTCCTGGAGGTCAGTCTTAGGCACAGTAAAACTTCACGGGTTTGGAGTAGATTCTCTTTCTCGTCTAACTGCACCTAGAAGCCCTTTTACATGACAAAAAGTCTGTCATCCCTCTAGTGAAAATAAAGGGCTTAAAAATATAAATACTTGAGATAGTTAGATTGGTCTAAATACATTACAGTCAACCTATAAATGGGGATCCCAGAAACTTTCTTCTTTTGATTAGAGAAACCAGTTCCAAAATAGGCACCAGTGGAAAGGTGGGCAGGGTTGAGGGCAAGTCTCAGAAAGGAAAAGGGAGCAGAAAGGGGAGGCCTGAGTCACAAGGAGCTACTATAATGCTTCAGAACTGGAGGGTGCTTGAGAGAACGCAGTGCTCTCCTGCTCATGTCTCATCTTGTTCTGGCAATGACTCTGTGAAAAAGAGGAGGAACCCCCCAGGTGACACAGGAAGGAATGGCGGCTTAAAGAGGTTAAATGACTTGCCAGTCATCACAGCAATGGTAACTGGCTGGGCTATCAGGAGCTCAAACCCAGGCATCTCTCTGCCTCTAAATCTCATCTCATCTGTTATTTTGCTGCTTCTCCATCCTCTTCGACTTTATGATTATTGGACAGACCTCATTTGCAAGAGACTGTATCACCAAGCTTCAACAGTGTACTAAAAATTACACTATAGTGTTCAACTATTATACTTATTCCAGAAGAAAGATATAATTCTTAAGTTATTTTCTCATTCAATTTAGCAAGACATAGAAAGTCACATTCCATTGACTGCATGGGGGAAAAATGACTAGCCAAAAACATTTATTTCTGTACAATATTTTTTTAAAATTCACTTTTATAATCTACAAGGATGGTTTGCTAATTTTTCAAAATTCTGTTTTCACATACAATGTCATTTTTTTATGGAAAAATGACTTAAGTTTCCCTCTTTTCATCATTCTAAGAATAAAAAAGTCTTTGACTTTTGCTCAAAATAATTTTCTCTTCAGATTAAGATATTAGTGGCATTAATTATGAAGACAATGTTCTAATTAATGCCCACAGCCTACAGCAGAATTTTCAGAAAGTTCAGAATTAAACAAGGTAAGAGGTTGTTTGAGATGTTTTTTCTCCTCTGGTTGTTCACACAATTTGACTTCAATGTTGCCATCACTGAATGCTTCTCCCTTGGTCTCCTCTACTGGGTTCTCTCTCCGGGAAAACATTGCTTTATTCTGCATCATTGTAATTCCTGAATTTCCATGTCTTCGTGCTGGAGATAAGGTTTCTTTTACTATGCAATAACAAACTGCAGATAAAAAATTTTTTTTGAAGTTTTCATTCATAAATGCATAAACAATGGGATTACAGATGGAATTGGAGAATCCAATTATTTGCACTATAGCAAAAATCATCTTGATTGTGACATCATTGTACTCTTTTTCAAAATTGCCTGAAATAAAAAGTAATACTTTAGAATGTATATTTGTTTTAATGAGCATAAAATAAAATTTCTGTTTATCACTTGTCTTTACCAAATCCTTACACTTGGGCAAGGGGTTAAAGGTGTGAAAAATTCTCAAGACCATTTTGGCTAGAGCCATCTGATGTCTAAAGAAATATAACGTTTGTTATTAAAGAATCTAGGCTTCCAAGCACAGCCCAGTGCCCAGAACACATTAGGGGGCTCAGTGCATTTCAACTTGATGTAAATTGGAAGCAGCAGTTCTCTTCAAACGTTCTTGTGTTACAGAAACACAACCATCTGAGAACCATGCTATGTCTCAGATTATCAGACAGAATACACCGAGGATCTGGCTGAAATCCTAGCTATTATTAAATTCATGTGGTTCAAGTCAGAGTTCTAAATAGGAACACTCATAGGATGTTACACCTCTCCCAAGGTTTAAATAACTTAGGGAGGACAGAAGGCATAGCATGGGAGAAGAATCTCAAAAGCTTTTCTTTATCTTTTGTAATTATGAAAGATTTAGTCATAGTCATACATAATTATCTACTGCATAATGATCTGGTGGTATTGAAAACATGAAAGAAACCTATTAAATATTTGATTACCCAAGTGAATAGCAACAAATTTCAACGATTCATTGTCCATTCTAGCAGGAAATGAACTACAACTTCCATCAAATGAGAATGACAAGCACTCACTGTATTCAATCATCATGTGAACGACGTGGAAAGGTGCCCAGCACACAGCAAAGAGAGCCACCACTGTCACCATCATAATGACAGCTCGCTTTTTCTTCCTGGACTCACAAGGATATACATTGTATTGGTTAAATTCTCCTTGGCAAATGTGTCAGATTGATAGCAAAGCTATTAGATAAAGTTTGAGCCTAGATCTCTCAACCATAACTTCTCAAATATTAATGAAACTCATGTTGGGTTAACTGTGGGCTGTTTATCATCTTTTCCCATTGCTATTACCCTCATCCCTATATTTCTCATATTATAAACATCCTTATCATATACGCTCATATGGATCTAATGCTCTGCTAGATGCCTGGCATGGATTATGTCATTAATCTTCCCAATAAGCCATTTGACAGATACAGAAACTGAAGCACAGAGAAGGTTAAGTAATTTGCCAAGTCAGATGGCTAGTAAGGGATTTAAACTAACAAGAGCCGGTTTGGATTTAAACTTACGCAGTCTAACTTCAGTGTCTAAGCTCTGACTCATTTTATATGGAAGGGCACTTATGCCTGAGACAGACAAATATGGGAATCCTTCAGGATAGAATTAAAATGTAATCCTTTATTATATATTTAAATCATATGATTAACCAGGGATTCAAACTAGTTTTCTCCATTACTCCTGTAAAGGAGATTAACATTTGCAAGAGAGTTACATATTTGCATGGTGCTTTAAGTTTATAAAAATTCAAATTCAAATTATTTCTTATTTCAACATGGTAGCCCTTTCTTCCAAGGAAGTAGGAGAGCTAAATCAGCAGTAAGTCCCAGGGTGCTACAGGGTTCAGCGCCCTGTACAGAGTGAGGATTTCTTTATCCAAACTGGGCACTAGAGGTCGCTGCACACTCGAAGAAATGATAAAAATCTCAGCAAACCACTAGTCTTCTCCTTATAACGTTTTGTTTTTGTTTTTAATAGCCATTCAGTGTGGATTATAAAATAAACCACATGGACTGTAGGTACCACAAGCAGTAGAGTGCATTTTAAAATTTCTATTAATGAATATGATCAGAAAGGAAAGCCCTTAGGTAAAAATAAAATATATCACTAATAATAATTTAAAGTAAACAGCATACTCTGGTTTCCAAAAGATTTTCATACATATCATCTCATGTATTTTAGCATCATCCTTGGGTAGGAGGAAGTAACGATGGAGATTATGCTCCCTGGTGTACATGAGGAAAGCAGGGGCCTTAGAGCAAGGAGACTTATCCACATCATGTGGCTGTTGAGTAGCAGAGAGAGGAGAGCACCCAGGACCACTGGGTCCTGACATCAGCCCACAGTTCTTCCTATCATGTTGTACTGACACATAGATGAAAATGTAACAATTTTCTAAATTCCAAGTAAGTTTCTATCTATAATGGTGGCTTCCCCTTTGAGTCGGGAGCTGTTAATGTTTCTTCTTCCCACCATACATAAAATCTCAAAAGTTTAAAGTCAGCCCATGTGCTAAACATGAATTACAAATGACACTTTGACTAAACTGCCCAGGAATTCTGAGATCTCTGGCCACTGCCCCTCCCAGCACGACTAATTAAAAATATTTTAAACAGAGGTGAATATTTCATTAAACAGACCTGGCTATTTTTGACATTTCTTTTCCATGAATAGTTCGAAGCACCGAGCCATCTCCCACTCTTTTCTTTATCCAGAGCTCATAACCGATTTTACTGTACAGGATAAGCATCACCATAAGAGGCAGGAGGAAGAGGATGACAAGGATGAAGGTGGTGTAGATTTTCTGGTGCACAGGGCTGGTCCACTCTTCCAAGCAGCAGATGTGTTCTTTTTCATATAAGAAGTCATATTTAATCTTTAAAATAAGAATAATTCAGTTGGAAGAGCCAGTAGTCAGCATCAAAAGAACAGAAAATAGCCAAGTACTATTGTAATGCAGCATTTTTCAGATCCTTACATATTAACCATGGGTACATACTTCAAATGAGATAAACTTTTGATTGTTCTTTTGTTGTGGAGTGTGGTTTTTACACTTCACTACTTTAAATTCTTAAGAGTTTTATACTTTCTTTCCTATTTTAAATGGAATTGAGGACCATAGCCTGTTATTTTCTTGTCTATCTCAACTTTTATCTTATAATTGTAAGTTTCCAACTGGGTGAAAGAGCACTACAATGACCAGATCAGGCATGAAAAAAATATTTTGTACTGCAGGCCGGCTAGTTTAGTGTTACATTATTTTGCTTCCTCACTTGTTGAAGACACAAATTTTGACAAGGCGTCAGACTTCTTCCAACTGAGAAGCACTAAAAGTCTGTATTATGTTGCTGTGATTTCAGATTGCAATGATCAGGCTGCTTGCAAAGATTTCAGAAAGGCAACTGGTGGCTTTTAGATTATGAGATGAATGAGAAATTGGGATTCAAACTATTGTCAATCTACAAGGATATCTAATCTACAAAATATTCAGACCCCAACTTTGAGGTATATATTTTACAGAAAGGCCATGTCTATCTATTAATACTATTTCTGACAGACTCATCTTATGAATTCAAAAAATTATTAATAACAATATTAATAATAATAGCACATGCTAGTAAGGGACAAACTAAAGATTTAAAGTAGATTCAGAAGCCATTTTTCCAGATAATAGGAATAAAAGTTAGAGAATTTGTCAAAACTATTGTCATTTTAGTCACTCTAAAGATTTCCAGATGTACAATATTTAGATCTTAGACATATTTCTGCCTCCATTCCCAGCAAATTTTATCATCAACCTTGAAAGTCAGTTGAACTGGGGAGAAAAGCTTTCTGGTATATTCATCAAAGGTAAGAAAATTCAAGTTCTGATCTAGGCGTTATTTACAGTACAACTAGGAATGAAAACACATATTGAATAATGATTTCAAGACCCAAACTCCCCGGGAATAGGATATTAAAGTGAAATGCATTCTGACTCCATGTAGGCAGAGCCCAACAGGGCCAACAACCATGGGGGCCACATATTGACACATATGGCATTCTCCAAACAGGTGCACGTTGTCCTGGGGACAAGCAAAAACTTTGTGAGGATACGCCCAGATGGCTTTATGGGAACCAATTTCAGACCTTCTATTTCCAAATGTGCACTTCTCAAAAATTCCACTGCCTGAGAGAATGCCTGAGGTTGTAGTGTCATGCTGGGTATACACTCCCAGTTTCTCTCTCATAATCACCTCTTCCAATTTACATAAGTCATGTCTCCCACCCAACCCCAATCTCACTATGGGGCACCAAAGAAAGAGATGGTTCAAATTACTGATGTCAAGGAAGCCACCTTGATCAAGGCACCATAAATCCATGGGCTTTGTGCTTTCCCCTGTATTAAATATATTTCTATTCAGGGTAAAGCTTGGCATTAGAGAAGAGGTATTTTGACCGGTGTTAGGATGTTGTGAATACAAATTTTTCATACAGTGAAGGGGCAGAAGTGATCACAATTTTAATTTAACCACCTCGTTGCTTCCATCCCCTGAAAATTGTCAAATGCACCACTCCTGAGAGACAGTTCAGTGAGAGCAAAGCAAAAAACATCAGTGGAAATGAAGTCAGTGGTGCTTTATTTCATCCAGGTGTGAAATCCAGGCTCTGTGCATGCTCGTACTCACTCTAGTAGAATTTAGGAGTGAGAAGCTGGCCGTGGGGATGCATCTTAGTACACTTATTTGATTTGATGAATGAAATCATATTTTTTCCTGACAGAAAGCAAATCTGATTTAGCTGATCTGTCTGACAGTGAGGACTGGCTTTGCCAATTAGATTATAGCATTTTCTATGCATAACAATGAGTTATATATTTAAAATATATTTAGAGCATATGATAAAATAATTTTATTAAAAAATGGACAAATAATTTTGTGTTCTTTGGGCGAGAATTAGCCCCCACAATTGGGAACCGCGTTGGGTCATTTATAAAAGGCTCCATCAGTATGAGTTTGCTGCTGGAGACCAGGACAGCCTCAGAGAGAGAAGCTGGCCGCATCCAGTTTTGTGCGGAAGCTGAAGGGTCTTCCATGAGTCGCCGGCTGGAGAAGGGAACAGCGGTCAGAAGCCTCAGTGGTGTTATCTTCGAGAAACCCACAAAGTAAAGATTCAATCATGGGCAAGTCACATGCAGAGGGCACTGACACCAGAGGACACCTGCCCCTCCCCACTCTCCTCAGCATCTCCCAAAGAGCCAGAGGCAGCCAACCGAAAGGGGGCAGAGCAAGAGAAACACCAGGTAAAGAAGCAGAGAAGAAGGAATCACATCCCCTCTCCATATTGCAGGATTCTAGGCTCCCGAATGGCTCAAGCTGGTGGAAGGAAGATGTTTTAAATCGATTGAGAATATGGATTTATATGATTGTGACACTGGCATGGACGTTTTAATAATGGAACGAACCCTGTTCTGTGACTAGTCACTGTTCTTGTGACTGAAAGCGACCAGAGGAATTTTATTATCTGAATGACTGGAAGAGTCGTAGGGCTCGCTCAAGGCTTCATCCACGGCATTTCACTAGAGGATTGGAAGTCGTCAGATTGCATTTTCATAGGTAGCAAGGGATAGAATAAAATTGCTTTCTGCTCTCACCTATGGAGTCCAGCTCATTCAATATGCCAGTTACATTAAAAATCAAGCCAGGCATTAAATGTCTCCTTCCCTGAGGGCTCATTTGATATCCTTGCCAATGGACATTGCGTGCCCAGTAAAGTTTCACATTTGACTACGTGAATTTAAAAAAGGTACAAAAGGATACATAGTTCAAAAAATTATCTTAGGGGGTATGTGTGCAACTGTCTCCTGTCTTTAAAGACTACTGTCTGCACTAGACCACCTATGCAGGACGTGTTAATGTACGCCCCAATGGATAGACTGGGTCACTCAAAGCAGCACTGTGTAGGGCCGGCCCCGTGGCTTAGTGGTTAAGTGCGCGCGCTCCACTGCTGGTGGCCTGGGTTCGGATCCCGGGCGCGCACCAACGCACCGCTTCTCCGGCCATGCTGAGGCCGCGGCCCACATGTGCAACTATGACGTACAACTATCTACTGGGCCTTTGGGGGAAAAAAAAAAAAAGGAGGACGATTGGCAATAGATGTTAGCTCAGAGCTGGTCTTCCTCAGCAAAAAGAGGAGGATTAGCATGGATGTTAGCTCAGGGCTGATCTTCCTCACACACACAAAAAATAATAATAATAATAAATAAAAAAAAAAAACAGCACGGTGCTCCCTTCACTGCAACTCACCACACAAGGCTGGGCCCATCTGACAAGGTAGGGGGAAGGGGAGAGGCTGGATAAGATGATCTCACATGTTTCCAACTCGAATTTCAATTTCTCAATGAATAGGAGGCAGGTAAGAAAGGACTTATGAAGGAGAATCAAGTAATAAGTAGACAATCAATTTCAAATTTTTTGTGACTTAAAAACAGAAGAAAAATCTAGAAGGACCACTGAACTCTTAAAATGTAACAAGACACCAGAGGACACTAGGAAACGTATGTTCAGCTGGCAGGAAAAAGTAGAAAGTGACCCTGGTAAATTTTATTTTAAGCGTTAAAGTCTTAACAATATAAGATCAAGGAAGAGGTAGATAAAGTAAAGGAAAAACATCTTTAAATAAATTATTTTAGTCCCCTTGTAAAATCTCCAGTGAAATAATCGAGATCATACAAATTTGCTGTAAGGCTCTTGCAGGAAGGAAAATGATTATACTTAAGAGGAATGGGAAAACATTTCAATAATTTGAGTACCAGTCCCAGCCCCGAATCTACCTCAAGTCGTTGCACGTGCCACATGGGTGATCCTACGATGATTGCCACCAGCCAGACCACACCTGTAAAAACGTTATGATCGTCAGAATATGACTCAGTGAAACAAAATACATCCGTGCTTAATTCTCTAACCACAAAGCTTCCCTATACTCAATGTGCCCCGTCATCTCTGCCCTGGAGCAGTGCAGGTCTCCTCACAGGTTCTCACTTCCAGTCTTTCCCTACCCTCAAAATTGTTGCTGGAATAGTCTTCCTGAAATATGTTGTAAATGTTTAAAACTCTTTAAGTGTCCCATTGCCTATAAGATAAAACTCAAACCTCTTAACATGGTCCCCGAGGTTCTCTGTGATCTCACTTGCCTCTCTCTCTCCTCTTATATTTCCATCCATGTTCTTCACACTGAGTCCTCTAAGAGGAATTTACGGAGTTGGTTTCAGTCCTCATACCCCAGAATGCATTGTGCTGCTCCATGCCTTGACACTGTCACTCTGTACTGGCACCCTATCCCCACTGTCTACCTGTGGACTCATCTTCCAGGACTTGACTCAAAAGTCACCTTCTCTAGGAAATCTCTGAGGCCCCCACCACTTCCAGATAGAACCGACCACTAATTCCCTGTTGTCTCTATGTGCCCTCTAGAGTGGCACCTTTCTTGTCCTCACTTGTTTCTTCTCAATGTTCTCGGAGCTCCTTGAGGGCAAGGAGAGTGCCTTTTATTTTTTTGTTTCCTCAGCAAGATTCCAAGGAAAATGCCTGGCCTTCAGTAGGTGCTGATCAAGCACCTACTCTTTGTTTGTTGAATGGATGAATAACTTAAACACGATATAGATTACTTCCTATAATTTCTTCTTAAAATTGAAAGTACATTTATCTTAAGTATCATAATATGGGCATTATTATTTAAAAAACAAACATAACATTGGAAACCAGGGTGCTCTTTCCAAATTCCCTGTCTTCCACGAGTTTGTTGAGAAAATTGCGTTAATGAAGTGTCCTTAGCAAGGAACAAGAGAATCTTAACAGACTAGGACAAGGCCAGAACCAAGAGCCCCGACATCAATTTTGAGGAAAATTTCCCAGCTCAAACTCTACTTGTTCTTTCTATATTGAGTGGAACCATTAGGAAAACAGTGTATTGCCTTCCGTTTCAAGGAACTGAGACTCACTTAAGCCATAATTGGTGTTTATTATAAAGAAACACATGAACTGGCACTGCCTATAGAAAGTCATTACGATTCAATGATTCAAGATAGTTCTAAGGCTCACAAATCTCTCTCTCTCTCTTTTTGTCCACATCACCATATACATCTATTTTATTCTAGTCCAATTGTATTCATATTATCTTAAGTCCAATCATTTTATCTTATGTCTCATCATTTTTTCAATCTTTAGTAGAAATTCTGGAGGAATTGAGTCTAATTGGCTTAGCTCATCGCCAGTCCTGTTGGATCCACTGCCTGTTCAGGGATAGAAGGACTAGGGTTACATGAACAATACTGATAGAATCTGTGAGCACTTCTGGGCAAGAAAGTCTAGCAGGTCTCTGCTGGCTGGGGCGTGGGGTGAGGCAGTCTCAGCTAGAAGGAGGTACTGGGCATGAAGACATGGCTAGGTCCCTGTGTAACAGAGCTGGAGGGGGAAGTCAGGCAACCCTGCACTAAAGCCCCCATGGGGAGATGAATCTCCTTGATTAAGAAAACCTTCCTGTCTCCTACTACTTTTTGTGGAGGAACTGCTTTGACTGCCTATTATCAAATTCGCTTTCAGATGTTGAGGCTCCCTCTACCTCTCTTTCTTTTTTGAATGACTTCCCTCCTCCACATATTCCTTTCCAACTCTTTCCACACCCACATGCTGTTTTCAGATGTTCTGATGGTAGAAGGACGTCAATTATTAAAAGCCAAGAGGTCTTTGAATTCTTTGCAGGAAGGATGCGACATGAATTTGAAAATAACTAACTAAACCTAACAAGTCTTTCCCTATGGTTTACCTATTCATTTCAAACTATCTAAAATGAGTTTGGCATTGCAAAGCCTTCAGGAGTCCTTTCCGTAATTCCACTATCCCACGCTGGCTAAATTATTAACTGCAGAAATAAATTTTTACCCACTCCTCTCAAGTGAGATATTAGTAAAAATTGCTCTCTTTGATTATTGCTCTAGTCGCTTTCTAAACGTCTGATTATTTAGCTATAACACATTCAGACCACTGCGAAGCACATTAAGGTTTTAAATGGCTCAATTATAACTACTGAATAGAGAAATTCTTCCATTTTACTGTGATAGGCTTTAGGACACTGCTTCAAATTAACCATTTAACATGAGGTACACACTCACCACGACCTGCTGACCCAGGAACTGTTAAGCAAGCTGAAGTGAAATTATGACGTGCATGGAATTTGTCTTGTCAGCATCTCTAGTACCCAGTACCCAGTGTTCTCCCCGCAGCCTTCTGCTATTGTGTACTCATCTCTGGGGAGCACCCCTGTTTTCTGCTTTTCTAAAAACACCTTTTCTGCCTTCCCGTCAAAATCTACCTGCCCTAACCAGAGCATCTTGGCTTAGAGGTCTCTTCTCTCAGGATGACAGTTTACTAATCTAATGAACGTGAATGTGGCGACGCCTTTGATAGGTTATCTTAGATCAGCTGAAAGTAGTGCTTGAAAGTTTAAGACTTAACTCAAGAAATAAATCTGAAATGAGAGATTTTCCATGCTGGGGTAGCCCTAAAGGAGAGAGGGGGTGAAGGCGAAGGTAAATGGGAGGGGACTGAAACCCTCAAATTACACCCAAACGCCTACTAGCCAGATGAGAAGCTCCTCTTCTTGTTTATAAATATGGTTCATTCTGAAGAAATTCTCTTTGTTCTGTAATGAAGAATGGCATTAACATTGTTGTCACTGGCCTCACCCAGCATTGTGAAAGCCCTTCGGTTGGTGTACTGCCACTTCATTTTGAAAGGATGCACAAGGCCCTGGTGTCTTTCCACAGCAATGCAGGTCATAGTGAGAATTTCTGTCACGACGGCTGTAGACTGGACGAATGGCACCATCTTGCAAATGAAGGCACCTGCGGCAAGGAAACAGGACAAGTTAATCATCAAAAAGAATAAAAGCTTTATCTGTCTCTTTTTAACTATTTCAGTTAATTCTGAGCCAATGTTTAAAAGTTTTATGACTATAATTACATTATAGACACAAAATAATCGAGAAAGGTTGCACTGGCTGATATTTTCTCTCCCCAAATGGATTCTAAGCTCCTAAATTATATGTAATTATGTATAAAAATAAGACAATGAGAGGACAAGTAAGTATCTAGCTATTGATAACAGGCAGACAAAAATCAATGTGACCTTTGCTTGAGAAAGAGAAAAGTCAGCGTGAGCTGGTCTCCTAGGGCCTAAACTACAGAGTAACTTTTGATTTTTCTCCCCTTTTGGTTCCCTGTCAAATCATAACTAAGGAATAATTCTCATCAAAGACTCCCAAATTTCTTCTTTTATCTTTTATTCTCCTTTGACTTCCTGTCCTAGACTTTATATCTGGATTACACCATTACACTCTTATCTGACTTCACTTTCTTTAATGCAAAGGTCTCAAATTTTTGGCCCCTGGGCAAGATTTGGCCTGCAAACATGTTTCATTTGGTTTACATAATATTTTTGAAGTATCTGAACACATTGTCAATATTTTTTAAATGTTTACACTATCTGTGTGGCCCCCTCACCACTGGTATTTGTAAGGCCTGGTCTGACATCTCTGCTCTTGAATCCGTCCTGCTCATTGCTACCAAATTATTCTGAACTCTCAGAGAATCATAAGCTCAGGGAATATAAAAAGCTAGAAGAGACCTCAGAAATCACGTAGTCCAAGCTCTCGCCAAAAGCAGAAATCCTCTCTTCACCTTCTCTCACAAACGCTCTGCCACGCTCTGCTTAAATACCTACAGAGGAGGCCTCCTTGCTGGCACACTCCCACCTTGGGCCTTCACATGGCTTTTCCTTGTTCTTCTCCAAGATAACTCCCTCACACCCTTCACTGAAGTCTTTGCTCAAATGTCCCCTTCTCAATGAGCTGACCTACTCTGACAACCATAGCTGTAATTGCAGCCTGTCCCATTCCCTTCCCACCTCCTCTCATTCCTCATCTCTCTTATGCTATTTCTCCACACTCTTTCACATTCCAACATACTCTATAATTTACTGATTGGTTTGTCTTACTGTTTATTGAAGGTTTCCGCACCCCTACCAGAATGTAAACCTCCAAGAGTGAGGATTTTTGTCTGTATTCTTCACTGATGTATTCCGAGCATTTAGAACACGCACAGAAGGCTCTCAACCAACATTCATTGAATTGAAGACAATGAGTGACTAGGAGGCTCTTAACCTCTAAAGCTGTCCCCGTTCAACTTTGGAGAGGCGCTCATCAGAACAAGCGCTTTTCAGTAATTCCACCCACTTCTTCTAGTTTTGCTTTCTGAGAGTTTCAGAATTAACCAACTATCTTTTCCAAACAACAGCTCTTCTTATACTTGAAGGAAGCTTTCATGTCACTTCTGTCTTTTCTTGTTGCCCCAGCTGTTCCTCATTTGACTGCTTTTCAGACCTGTCAACTCCCTGGATGCCTTCTGTTGCACTTTCTCCAGTTGGTAATTACGTGGTCCAGAGGGGAACCTGCTGTGCTCAGGATGCGACAGAACGCTCTGGCTAAGGCAGAGACGGGAGGATTATACTGCCTCCCTGGGTCTGAACACCCTCTTCTGTGACTGTAACCAAAATTTACATCAGCCTTTTGTGCTAGAATTTTCAAATGGTTGGTTTCTTCTGAACTTGAAATCAACTTAAGATGAATTGGGTCCATTTAATAGAAAATTTCTGTTAACCCAAGATTCCCTTACTTCCCATCCTGTGACTCAGGGAAAAAAATGTCTTTAGATATTTTTCTAGATACTCCCTTTCCAGTCCTTCTTGGAAGCTCCAAATGACTACCCAAGAGCCAATCCCACCCACTCCCAACCTTTGTTCCAGTTCCCCAAATCCCAACTCCGTTCAAAGTTAAGGCCCTTCTTTGTCCAGCAAGATAGTTTAGATGCTATGTGCAGGAATTTCCTTTCAATACCAACGTATTTCATTGTTTGAATACTGATCATAGTGTGAATGAGTTAGCTTACCTCCAATCCTGTTCTGGATGTGATACTTGAATAAACGAATATGTGAATAAATTATTCATCTGGATGTTGCTCCTGTTCTTTTTTTTTTTTTAATTTGATGAGAATTTCTTCTATTCTTTCAGCCAAATTGTTTATTTAAAAAAAGATTTTAAAAAAAGTAAAAAAAAAAAAAAAAAGTTGGACAGGCCAAGTTTAAAGGAACACCAGAAGAAACTTTCCAGGAAATGGACATGGATCCATTAGCAACACATTTTAGGTATCACTATCAAAACAAATAAGAATTATTGTTGTAGTGTTCATTGTAGAGTTGTGTCATTGTAGTGTTATGCATCCTAAATCTACTCATCTTGTCCATCACAATAGCATGGGGACTTGGTCAACTGATTTCCCGATATCAGGATACACGCTGATCTTGATTCATCTCATCTATTAGTTAGCCAGTCTGAACCCCTGTTGTGTCATGGGAGGGAAGAAGGGGCACAATGTTTGGATTGACTTATGGAATGGATTCTTTCGGCTCAATAAGACACCACTATGCTGGTTTTAGTGAGAAATAGTGCATATACTTATTAGGAAGACAATAGGCTATATACATACAGGTATACTCCAGCATAAGGATAAGCAAATAATAATTTAATAACAATGGAAAGAAATGGCGGGGGGCGGGGGGAGAGAGAGAGAGAGAAAGAGAGAGACAACAGATTCGCACTCACAATATCTGCGCCCCTATGCCAGAGAGAGTCCCTTTGACTGACACGGCTAGTCAGGAGTGTGGATCAAAAGAGGAAAAACATCAGATCGATCGAAAAAGAGAAACATCAGATCGATCAAGAGAGGAAAACATCAGATCGATCGAAAAAGAGAAACATCAGATCGACTGAGAGAGGAGAACATCAGATCGGGTACTTAGAACATCCACGACCTTATGCCGGGGAGAGTCCCTTTAATTGACACGGCTAAGCAGGAGTGCCCATCGAAAGAGGTCCTGGGCAAGGCGTCCCCACCCCCACAGGCGACACTCTCGCCCAAGCAGAATTGTGAGTTGCTTTTATGCATGTTTCTACTTAGAGACCATCTCTATGGGAACTTTTGGTATTTTTCCTTCTCGCTGTTATCGCGTGTGTACGTGCACTGTAACTCCCGGTACTTATCTCAGACCAACACAGATGGCCGGTCTGTGCCTGTCCTTGACATCCTAGGAGCTTTATAACCTAAATAATTGCAGCTAGTATTGTGGGAGAAGGGCCGGTTCCCACCACAAGCAGCTGCTCTGCATTCTTTTAGTGTGGCTGGTTTCCCAGGGTCACCAAGCGGACAAACATGGTGATACTTATAAGTCAACCCCAATTTCATCATTTGTAAAAAGGGATTCATAATACCCACCTGTCATAGGACCGACATGAGTACTTCATAAAATGACATAAGCATCCAGTATAGAATGTTGTCTTTAAAAAATGGCAGCTCTTTTATCATCAGACAGCCTGATTAAAGAATTGAGGTAAATTTTGCTCACTTGGAGCTGATAGATCCTTCGTGGCTAAACTGCCCATCGAAAGACATCTAATACAATAACCTATTTCTCAGATAAGGATATTGCAGCTCAAAGGAGGTAAGTGATTTGCTCATGTCCACACAGCTGTTTAGTGACAGAATGAGGGCATGAGCCCAGGTTGAATGAATCCAGTTCTTTCCACTACATCGCCCTCACTTATCTTAATGCACCCATGCTATGTGGCAGTTTTCTTATCTACATGCTCATAAATTGTTTATTTAATAATCCACTTGAGAATTCTGCACCAAGCTGTAGTTCTATAATCTGTCTTCTTACCCTTTTTATGAAACCAGACAGCATTTGCCCAACTCATTACTTCTGACATTTCTCCAATCAACTTTCTAAGAAATTACTGACAGTGTTTACTTGATCACATCTCCAAGTTTCTTCAGTGTTGTGGCATGTAATTTACCTAGGCTGAAGATTTGAGTTTTTTTCAAAATAGGTAGATGCTCTTGCTATCTACTCACTTATCTTGGATCTTTATTTTCATTCTAACCATCTTTGTTGCCATTTATATTTGGAGATCTTTTCAAGGTCTGGAAGACTGCAGGAAAATAGGCATTGAAGAGTTTTGTTTTTTCTCTGCCCTTCATTAAATTTCTATCACTGACCCTCCCTTTCTTTTTCCTCTCCTTATTCTGGTAATCTCTCTGATAACTCGTCAGTCAGCTCGTCTACACTTTAGCTTGCCCAATGTAAACTGTACCGGTCTAAGCTATTTTGCAAGAAATGTGTCCTTTGTGACATTTCTTCCCATAAATGACATTTTTAAACTGGGATAATCCTAGAATTCCCCATATAGGGCCCTGTTTCCTTGAGATGTCCTTCCTTTTTTTCCTACCGGATTATCTGATTTTAGTACCAGAGTTGTGTTTCTTAGAGCCTGCCTAGAATGGCTATTTGTTATATTTTGTCCAGCATCCACCTGCGTTTCCTAATAGTAACACCATTTCCTCTGGCGCATAAACTCTCCCCTATGTGGCAGGTTAGGTAAGAGGCCCCACTATGGAAGACAAGGCAGGAACGGGACAGATTCTCACAAAGACTCTATCAGCTCCAAAGTTACCAAATTTACCTCAATTCTTTTAATCTGTTGAAAGAGTGCGAAGAAGATAAAAGGGAGGCGTGTGGTGGTATGGTCCCGTGCTCACCAGACCATGAGTGCTAGCAGACCACTGCTAAATTACTGACTTCTGGGCACCCTCGGTCCCTGCCTGTTGCAGGCCCACTCTTCCAGCTTCACACTGATCCTGTGAACCTCCAACATCCTTCCAGTACATTCCCTTCTCAAGCTACTTAGCTATCAACTATTGCTTATAACCAGGTACAGTTCTCCCTCGTATCC